GCATTTCGGTTTAGTTAGGCAGTATTGATTGGCTTGTTTTTGTGATGTATGTGTTGCATGCTTCAAATATAAAGAGATAAAGTTTTAGAAAAATACATTTTGATTATATTGTATTATGAATTTTTTATTTATATAAAACAAGAATAAGTAAATATTTGTTTCTTTGGAGATTCATTGCAGTTAATTATTAGAATTTTTTAGCAATTAGGGGAAGGTGGGGTAATGGCGACACCTTAAGCTTTAGATCGATATAACACATTACTGAAAAGTAAATATATAGATTTAAATAATGCATTATATTGCTGGACTAATTAGCTCATTATAGGTTTAATTAGAAATTTATATTCACATTTTCATAAGAGTTATTTCATACTAAAGAAAAGATTAGCAAGTGTCGGCATTCCCCACCATACTGAGGTAATGCCGACACTGTTGGTGGGTAATACCGACATAATATTGAAAACTTAGAAAATACTAAAATTATAACAGGAGACCTGCAGCAGGTTGAAAATAAACATTTTATTAAACTGAACTAGGAAAACATATTACAAAAAAATTAAAACAATTTTTATAAAAATCAAGAAAAAAAAATTATTTTGCACAAAAGTCACAGACATAATTTTCTGGTGTATCATAACCGGTACATTCGGAATGAGCCCAATTAGAACATAAAACACAACGATACCATAGTTCGTTTGCCCCAAACTCTCCACAAATTACACATACTTCTTTATTGGAGTCACAGATTATGGGATAGATTTGGCAATCGTCAAATCAGCAGTTGCCAGATTACAAAAGATGTTTGCAATGAATCTGAAAAGACACAAATATTTACTCGTTATTATTTCATAGAAAATAAAAATTGCAGAATTCATAAAATAATAGAGGGCAAGTCAAGAAAGTATACTATTTTTTCTTTAAACGTAGCAATTTTCAACCATAAATAGTACAATTCATACGCTATTTTTACTCGAAATTAACTGTGACAACTATCAAAGTCGTCTAGATGTTAGAAATTAAAATAATTAAGTCGTCGGTGGGATTTGCGTCTCCCTGGTTACAGTTGTTTGACAGTTGTTTGCAATTAAGTAAAGACAGCTTATTGTTGTTTGCAAGCCGCCAACATCGGGAATGATTGCTGAAAGTTGTTCTCGACCATCAGTATCATCAACAATTACCAATGCGTATCAAGAGTCGGGAACATTTTTGCACGGTTTCAATTTTGAAAATGCCTCATTAACTAATTGTACTTTTAATATTACTATAAATAAAAATGATGTTTAATTGTTGTTAATGACATTTGTATTGTTGCTTTGTGACATGTTTCATATTGTTGCCATGACAACATTTTTCCCTCCGCCTAAAGAAATGGGAAAAAAACTGCTGCCGGCGGAGACATCAAACTTTGACAGGATCAAGTTAGATAAGTAATGTCATCATTATATGACGTTTGAAGAAAAAATTATTTATTTACTAATTTATACCATTACAAGGTTAGGTCGATTTTTTGCCAAAATGGGTTAAATGCCAAAAAGTGGATAGAATTACTTTTCCGATGTTGTAAATAAGTACCTAGATAAGTTGTGAGCTGACTCTAGCCAAAGTTATACGTAAGATAACTTTAATATAAATTATAATATATTAGTGAGTATCAACTCATACAACGTCAAAGCACTCGGTAAATTAAAAATGTACTCTGTAATCCCAAAAAATACTTTTTGCAGAAAGAACAATGACCACCGCTTTTTACAAACGTATGTAGGAACAGTGGCCACCACTTTTTTTGTCAAAAGCAGTGGCCACTATTCCTGCATAAGTGAGAGAGCATGAGTTCTTCACAGCAGTTATTCAATGTGTTTAAAAGATGCATTCTCGGTCAATATTTTTAAGAGAATTAAAAGAAAAAGCTTTGCCAAAAAAGATTGTGCTGACCGTTTTTGATTCAAACAAACTAAAGGACAATAACAATAGCAATTTAATGCAAGGTAAGCTACTTATTTAGATTTGTGCAAAACCTTTTCTACGCAGATTTCTCGTAAGTAATGATTTCTGACTTGTTACACTTTGGGACTGGTGTATCTATATGTAGTTCAAGTATGTCTCAGTTCAATAAGTTGAGTATATCTGTAGTCTACCTTATTGCTGTTTAGTGAGCATCTTAGTGCTGTGTTCCACACTGTCATAAGCTTCCTTAAAGTCTACAAAAGGTGCATATGTCGGAATGTTAAATTCATGTTTTTTTTAGTTAAAATTGAACAAGGCACAGGAAGAAGACAAAGTAAACTATTCCAATTGCTGAAAAGAGGTTTCTGTGTCTATATTGGATAGATCTAATTGTATTGTAACCATCCTCTTTATATAGTTCAGCTGAAAGATTATCTATTTTGAGTAATTTATTTCTGGATAGTTTGTAACTGAGTCTTTAACTTCAAGAATAGTTGGTGGTTCGTCTTCTCGCGCATCTGCTCCTCTTCCCTTATGTCTTCCAGGTTTTCTTCTTTCTGTTTTATATTAAATGGCCTGTCAAGCTGGTGAAAAGTATTTAAGTCCTGTCTTTCGTTTGTGTATACCCTTTTCTTTGCTTCTCTTTGTCTGGTAATTCTCTACAGTTATTCTAGTTCATCGGTTAAGCATATTTCTGTTGGCTCCATTGTTTTCTGTTGTTAAATTCTTGCATTCATCTTAAAATTAATGATTTTTAAGGGCACAAGTTTCTGATCCTATTTTATCTTTTTCATCTCCTACTTCAATGTCTTCTTTTAGGCTGGTCTAGTAGAAGTCTATATCTTTTTGGCCTTCTTCATTTACATTTTGATTCCTTATATTGTTGTTGATATTTTCTGACCATTGTTCTGCAACTGGTGCATCTTCCAGCTTTTGCACATTCTATTTTTTTCTAGCTATTTTATTTTTTCGCAGATGTTTGGAATTCTAGCCCTCAATATTAAAAACACTAGGCAATGATATAAGTCTGTTTACGCCGCTATAACTTCTGCATTTTATTGTATCTGTTTCGTGTTCTGAATCTATTATATGTGATTAATCTTACATGTCGTTCTTCCATCAGAGGAGGTGCAGGTTACCTTGTGTATATTCTTGTGTTCTTAATAGGTGCTACCGACTGTCATTTTTAGTGCTGCTGCCAAGTTTATCAGTCAAAATCCATTTTGGTTACTGACATTGTGTAAGCTATGCCTTCCTATAGTAGGGATATAAACTTGCTCTAGTGTAGGCTTGCTCTAGCGTAGGGTTGCTCTAGTTTACTTTTATTTGTTCTGGTTTAGAGACATGTGCATTGATCGAACTGTAATAAAAGTAGGCTTTAAAGTTAATAACGAAGCCATTTGTTGCAATTTACAATATATCCCACTCTATCTATGTGTTGATTTTCATTGCAGCTATAATATATAATAATAATAATATAAATGGCTTGTCAAGAGTGCAAGATATGAGTGTACCAGCTCAGTACAGGTGTCGGGTATCCCATGTTCCTAATCTCAATTCCATTTTTCGTTTGCATAGTCGTCGTAAGTTTCGTCCAGCTAATAATTGCTGAGGTTCCGTAACATATAACATTTTACAGGAAGATGTTGTCTGACTCATCAGAATCGAAAAACCGAATACAGTATTTCATCGAGAAGGACCAAACTTACTACTGGCATTTGCAGACGATATAGATCTAATAGGAAACACGCGATTAAGGATGAAGGAGACTTTCGTAAGGTTTGAGAAGGAAACAGAGAAGATGGGGCTCCAAATCAACGAAAACAAGACGAAATATATGTATATGAGCCGCAATAACCAAAGCAGAGACAGAATCGGTCAGAACATTACCATCGATGACTTTAACTTTGAGCGCGTTAGAGAATTCAAGTATCTTGGAACAACAATAACGGATCACAAGAAATAAACAACAGGATTCAGGCCGGCAACAGATGTATTTTTGCCCTCCAAAACCTTATAAAATCAAAACAACTAACACGACGTACGAAGATACAGGTCTATAAAACAATCATACGACCCGTTGTGATGTATGGAAGTGAAACGTGGACGATAACAAAGGCAAATAAAAAGAGACTACGTGTTTGGGAAAGAAAAATCCTAAGGAAGATCTTTGGTCCGGTGCTTGATGAAGCATCAGGACAATATAGGATAAGAACTAATAAAGAGCTGGAAGAACTTTAACCCAGACGCCAACATCATAAAAGAAATAAAGTCCAGAAGACTCCAATGGGCAGGACACCTCGGAAGACATTTTGACGAACGAACAGTAAGACTGGTGTAGGAGAAAGTCCCAACTGGAAGGAGACCACGCGGACGCCCTCGTCTCCGGTGGCGAGATAATATAGCAGGAGACCTAAGCACTATGGGCGTGGAGAATTGGATGGAGGTTGCTCAAGACAGAAAACAGTGGAGGCATGTTGTCGAGTCGGCTAAAACCCACGAAGGGTTGTAACGCCACGGAGTAAGTAAGTAAGTTGTTTGACTCTAGCCCAAACCAACCTGGAGGGCCATGGACTCTTCTGTTAAGGTTGTCATACCTTAGTATATTTTGGTTCGCAGATGGTATTTTATCGACTTTGAGTTCTATTGTAAAGTCTTTGATAATATTCTTATGTGTTCGTAAGGATCTTATTCTTGCTACTTATCTCTTTATTTGTTCGATTTCTATTGGTTCTGCATCTCTTACGGTCAATCGCTTCTGAATACTCACCTTAGCTATACTATAGCTAGTCGGTGGTCACTACTAGATTGAATTTGTTAAAAAGTGTTACATCTTTCACAATATGTTTACAAGACGAAAACATGAACTTGATGATAGAATGATAATAGACTTTGATTATTTAGAAAGTAGTAAGAAGAGTCAATTATAACTCCGACCTCATATTATTAGAATCCTTGTTAAATCTATGAAGTACAAGGTTAATTGTTTACTAGAAAACTATTATTAATACAAGGATTAACATTTTATCATAAATTACAAACGATTAAAAATTCTATTACGCCCAGTCTTCTTTTATCATAATAGCAGCCTTGAACCCAATCATCATAGTCGGCCCATGCGTATTCCCACTAACAACGCGTGGCATAATACTCGCATCTACCACTCTCAAGTTCTTGATTCCGTGAACTCGCAATCTCGGGTCTACTACGGCAGTTTTTTCATCAGGCCCCATCGCACACGTACTGGTAGGATGATAAATAGTGATGCTAAAGTGCCTTAAAATGCATTTCCAGTAATCGTCAGATTTGTACTCGAATATATCGCAAGCTGGAGCTATTGGTCGTACTAGTTCCGGATTGTGCACCTTCAGAGCTTCAGTCTCGAAGAATAACTTGTCTGAAAATCTGCAAGAAAAAATTAACATTTGGATCAACTTCTAATAATTTAATAAGTTTATATGTTAATGTGAACCCACAGAATACAAGTGGATGTACCGACAGCAGTAAGTGAACTAGAGACTAGTGATCTACCTATTCTGAAGGGTGACTAAAATGTTAAGATAGAAAAAATAACATTATTGGAGATTTTGGACTGGGCGATAGAAATTCAAAGGTTGACTAGTAGAAATAAACGAAAGATTTTTACCACAAATTAGGATGGCTATCTTACTACTATTTAGAGCGTACTAAGTAATCTACTACTATTTAGAGCGTACTAAGTAATCTAGCCGTGCCGGTGTTAGTTTCTAAGAAGGAGAGGTTCTGAACTGAGTAGGGGCTTCTCAGTACTTCTTGGAAAACACACTCGGAGGGGGGCAGCTCTCAACCTCGACATGGCGCGTCCCAATGGCTGATAGGGAACGTCCTACAGATATGTAGGACAGGTGCGAATAAGGCTTTGCCAAATAAACACCCGCGGATCAACTGAGAGCATGGCATAGGGCAGCAGCTATGTCATTACAGGATCAGAGCGGTAGAGACAAGATCTCTGTATCGGTCTGATACCGGATAGTCACGGGCGGTAATCAAATTATGATTTAACCGGTTGTGATACTGCGGTGCAGAAAGCAACGGGAAACTACTGCACTATATTTTCCCTAGTAAAGTAACCTATGCAAAACAAAAATTTAACGGCCCCTAGTCCGCGGCAGACCTTAAGTGGTCAGGGGGTGCAAAGAATCCCCGCGAGGAGGAACCACCCGAAAGTGGAATACATTAATAACCAATCCTTGGTACGAATAGGCACTTGGAACGTACAAAGTATGTTTGAACCCGGTAAAGTTCAAAATACCATTCGTGAAATGAAAAGACTTGGAGTTTACATACTAGGTATAAGTGAGATGAGATGGTTTGGTTCTGGAAATGTATCCATCGATGACTACACAATATACAACTCGGGGAACGAACAGCAGAGACACTGGAATGGTGTAGGCCTTATAGTAACAGAGCAGATAAAAAAAAGCAGTAATTGATTTTATACCCTATTCTGATCGAATGCTTCTTTTGAAATTATAGAGTAAGCCCGTAAACATAAACATACTCCAAGTTTATGCACCAACTGCTGACAAGTCGGATGATGAAATAGAGCAGTTCTATGAGAATCTCCAAGAATTACTTAAAATGACAAAGAGTTATGAAACAACATTAATCGTAGGAGATTTTAATGCCAAAGTGGGTTGTGGAAAAGTGGAACATATTTGTGGAAATTACGGACTGGGCAATCGCAATGATAGAGGTGACAGACTACTACTATACAGAGGCTATATACGTGGAAATCACCCGCAGATAATAAAAACAATTGTGTCCGAAATCAAATCGATTACATTATTATAAACCAGCGATATAAAAATGCAGTAACGGATACAAGAACATACTCAGGCGCAGATGTTCCATCGGATCACAACCTACTAGTGGCTAAATTAAAAATAAGTTCAAAATGCTAAAAAAGACTGTCAAAAGAAAAACCGACATCAATTTACTTAAACAAGAAAATATACAAAGTATGGTAAAGACTAAACTCAACGAGGAATGTGAAAGACTCCAAAGAGAGTTATCACCAACTACAGAAGGCTTATGGACTGAAGTCAAGAATGCTTTTACTAGCGCCGAGAAATATATAAAAGACACTAATAACAAAAGAAAATCTAAACCCTGGATGACACAAAAAATTCTGGGAATGATGGATACTCGAAGAGCCTACAAAAATAAAAATAATGAAAAATATAGGGAGATACATCGTCAAATCAAGAAAGAAATAGCTACCGCAAAAGAAAATTGGATGATAGAAAACTGCCAAGAGATCGAAGAATTAATAAAGAAACACGACAGTCAAACGCTTCACAAAAAAATAAAAGATCTAGCTGGAATGACAAAACAAAGACTCCCTTGTAGATTAACAAACGACGAGAATGAAACTATATGGGAATTAAGCGATCTAAACAACGTATGGGGACATTACATAAACTATTCTCGGACACACCACTAAACAACATAATATATAAAAACCATGAAACCAGTCCTCCTATATTAAAATAAGAAGTAGAGAGAGCAATCAAAAACGCAAAAAATGGGAAAGCCCCTGGCCCCGATGACATACATACGAAAGTCATAAAGCTACTGGAAGAGAAACATTTAAATATAATCGTCAAATTATTTAATCAAATATATACAAGCGGTGAAATTCCACAAGACTAGTTAAAATCAGTCTTTATTCCGCTTCCAAAAACTAAGGGAGCAAAGAAGTGTGGTAATTTCAGACTTATTAGTTTAATATCGCATATGTTAAAGTTATTCTTGAAAGTTATTCACCAACGCATTTATAAGAAATGTGAACAGGATATCAGTGATGAACAATTTGGCTTCCGAAATGGATTTGGGACACGGGAAGCATTAACCAGTTTTATTATACTGCTGCAAAAATGTCGAGACCAAAAAAAGGATCTCTTTTTATGTTTTATTGACTATCAAAAGGCCTTCGACAAAGTAAAACATGATAAGCTGATGGATTGCCTTCACAAAAAGGGACTAGACGAGAACGATTTTAAAATTATCCAAACGCTGTATTTTAACCAAACTGCAGCAGTTAGAACAGAAGCCGGTGACACAGAAATATTCAATATTAAGCGAGGTGTACGACAGGGGTGTGTATTGTCACCACTACTTTTCAATATATATTCGGAAGAAATCTTTGCACGAGCACTAGAGCAATCAAGAGAAGGTGTTAAAATTAACGGCAGAGTTCTAAATAATGTACGATACGCCGACGACACGGTCCTAATTGCTGAGAGCGCACAGGATCTCCAGACACTCGCGTCAGATCGATCGGAGAACAATACGGCCTCAGCATTAACGTCAAGAAAACAAAAACAATGATTGTCTCCAAAACATCCATCCATCCACCCATGGCTTTAAACGTGAATGGTAACATTATCGAAAATGTCGAGAAATTTCGATATCTAGGGTGCTGGATAACGAAAGATATAGATCCAGACATAGAGATAAAATCGCGGATTGAACAATTGAACATTTTTAAAAATGAAACAAATGTTCACATCCCAAACACTCAATCTCAAAATCCGATACCGAATGCTGAAATGTTACGTTTACAGCACCTTACTATATGGAATGGAGGCCTGGACCTTCAAAATCAACTTACTCAGGCGTTTGGAAAGTTTTGAAATGTGGTTATTTCGAAGGATGCTGAAAGTCCCCTGGACAGCGCATATGAGCAACGAGCAGGTCCTACACAAGATGGGTACCGACAGAGAACTCTTAAAAATAATGAAAACACGGAAAACCTCATATTTGGGACACATATACAGAAATGAGAAATACCAGCTACTGCAGCTTCTTATAGAGGGGAAGGTAGAAGGAAAACGTGGTCCTGGTAGACGGCAGGCGTCCTGGTTGAAGAACATTCGTGAGTGGACTGGTTTGGATTCTCAATCTTTAATAAGAAAAGCCAGGGACAGAAATGATTTTGCTGAGGTTATCGCCAACCTTTATTGAAGACGGCACCCAAAGAAGAAGAAGAAAGTAATCTAATTATTTCCAATTCGAAGGACCATCCAATAACGAGGAAAATAAGAACACAATCATTAAATAATACGTAATTTAATGATTAGCTTTGTTGCTACAATTAAGTTAGAATCTAGCCAAAGTTTTAGCTCAAAGTATTTATATCTAAACCGCCGAACACTATCCAATTTACATGAGTGCACGAAACACCACCTGAAAGCACTATTACAGTTCAAATATGTTACTAATAAAATTGTCACAGGAACCAAGGATGCTCCTTCAGTATTAATATACTTTATTAGGAATGAATGTTTGTTAAAAATGTAACCTTTAAACTATAAAAGATATAACAATAACTAGGTATACTTAATACGCGAGACTTGAAAACTCTAACGAAGACGCGACCAGCTAAGCTGGGCTACATATGACACTTATAGATAAATAATATAGTATATACAGATAGATAGGCAACTCTATATATAAATTTGGTTTATTAGCACCACTGGTGAGCGGAGTCAATACTAATCAACATTTGGCGGGAAATTCGAATGGTTAAGTATTAATTTTATCCCTGTAGCGCCTCTGGTGGGTCATTTCGGTACTAATTAAAATTTAGTGGGAAATTCAAAATATTTTATTATTTTCCAATGGAATAATCTCACATATCGTGAGTGATGTGACAATACCTATCTGCTTTTTCACAAGTTTTGTAGGGAGGCGAAAATCTTTATTTATAGGAACTATAACTAAACTTTAAAAACTAAGGAATCAAATAAAACTAAACTGAAAAAACTAAAGAATCAACTAACCGAACTTTAAAAACTAAGGAACCAACTTAAATTAAAATTACTAAGATTAAATTACAAACGAAAGTTAAAGATAATTAAATTAAAAATGAAAGCTAAGGTATCAACTAACTAAACTTTAAAAACTAAGAAACCAACTTAAATTACTAAGACTAAATACAAACGAAAGTTAAAGATAATTAAATTAAAAATGAAAACTGTAAACAAGCCAAAGCACGTGGAAGACGAAAATGGACGAAAGTCGAAAATATACAAATATCAATCATCAACTTGTCATTACTTTTGACGGAATTGACATGGCGGAATTAAGCTTTGTTTGATTATTTTATTTGTGACATTCAGAGATGGTGTTAAAATGAAATGATTGGTAAAAGTCTTCGTGAGCGAGATACGCTGTCATCTCTCTTTATTAACCGACTGGAGTCAAAGTGATGGGGGAAATGTTCAAGGTTATTCATTAAGATTCCAGACCATGGTAAAACTGACTACAGCTATTTATAAATACAGTAGAGTCTCGATTATCCGCCCTTCGGTTATCCGCCGTTCCGTTTTATCCGCCGCACCATTTATGCAAAAAAAAAT